AATATGTGACGAGAATAATACTGGGTGCCAAGAAAATTCACAAGACAGTTCTAGAACTGTTTCTTTAGGGAAAAGAAATAGTCCAAGTAGTTTGAGAGGAGCATTTGCTTTAAATCTTGTCAAAACCCCAGATGGGGTAGCCAAAATAGTGTGCATTTCATTTTAGCTTGTGGGGGAGTTTTCTGCTCAGTCTGCTTCTGAAAGCAGAACAAGCTGTGGAGATCACAGATGAGATCACAGTACAATAACATATTTCTGTTTGAAGACAAAGGCCTGTCATCCTAAAACTCACTGTCTTTAGGGGTTGATTTGCAGGCAGTGAAGTGTCAGACTGGGGCCAGGGGCCTGGGTAAATTTGAGGGCTGCAATTCAAGAGAACGGCTTTGCTTTACCTAGCCATAAACATTTATTGGTTAGCTTTTCTTTCTGTCTCATCCTTCCTTAGTCTATATATGTACTGAGGAGTAGCTTCAGTGCTGTAAACACATTGTATTTTTATTGCTGTAGCCCCCTGGAGTTTCCCTAAAACTCCTTTATATAAACTCACTATCATAGCTGTAAACCAGGATGAAATCTAACATGGCCAAATTCAAAGCAATCAGGGAGATGAGCCTTAGGCCTAAAAACTTTAAGCCCTTAAAAGAAAGGTTAATTTAGTGTCAGAAAAACTTAGTTCTGACTAATTTGTTTTAGTTTCATGCATGCCTGGAGAGCTAAGGGTGGCACAAAATCTGAGGCTCACTCCTTCCTTGCTTTTGTTTCGCTCCAGGGAGGCAATAAGTTACTATTTGCACTTCAAAGACCAAAAGTCAACCTACTCCTTTGGCCAGGGAACAGGAGGGCTCTGTATAAACAAGGATTATCCCATTTTTCTCTGCCTCTTCCCATCCATCTTGACTGTAGTAAGAAATTCTTTATAATACTGCAGTAAGACTGTAGTAAGAAATGCATTTAGAGCATCAAGATACAAGAAAAGATTCTACCCAAACTGTCCCCAGTGGGATACAGAGGCAAAGACATCCTGAAGCTATTTCACTTTTTCTTGACTTTCCTCACCTCTAGCACAGCCATAGCATGCCAGCATAATGATGGCATATGCTGAGTGGGCAGTGTACACTTAGTGGAAGCAACCCAACACAAACATCATGATTGGGAAACAAAGGAATGTGTGGTTTAGAGTATTTGAAGAATTTTCTTTGTTGACCAATGATAATAAAAAGAAAATTATGAATAATTGCAAAAGCCCAGATGAGTTTGAATACTGATTTGAAATTCCAACTGCCATATATTTAGATTTTCAGTTATTTAACTTGAATTCAGAACATTTGAAGAATTTTAGGAAATGGAAGGGAAAGAGCATAGTGGTACTGAGACCTTATCTTCATCTAGTGAACTTCTGTCCTTGTTTTGATTGCTGCTATTGACCTTCAAACATTTTTTATCACATTATATCCATAAGTTTGTTTTATTATCTTCACTTGGTCTAATTACCTGGATGATTCTATACTGTTCCCTACAGGGAAATATACTGCTGAAGTTTGGGGTTTTAAATACTAATTAAAAAATTCATTAGTGTGTGAATTAATTTCCACTCTTTGTATTTTCCTGTCTCTCTTGATAGCAATCAGAATCTGATAGCAATATAGTTGTTGCCATACTTTAATTATAGTGTTAGAATTCCTTTATCCACCTGTAGTATGAGGAAATAAACTTTATTACACCCAGTCTAAATGCAAAGCCATCTAAACTGTAGATTTAAAGAGTTTAAATGTAAATAAAATACTTTGCCTTGTATAGCTATTCCAACTATATTCCTAGCATTTAAATATGTATTTAGTTCATGGAACAACATTTTAAACTATCCTTCTCAAAAGTATTCACAGGCACTATATTGAAGACTGAGTTCATAAATCTTGTTAAGTTGTATACAAATACACTGCAAATGAATCTCAGACCACCCCAGTTCCTTACCTGAGGCTGATGTTCATTCAAATCTTACATGGTTTTTTATTCACTAAGAAAATTCCTTTACTTTTGTGGGAACTTTAATTGTGGCTTTTTGTTCCTACAATTGATATGTACAAGCTAGTGTTCACTGACTGTAGTAATTGGCCTGGTTTTAACCACATAGAATTCACATTTGTTATGGAAAAATACAGGTATTGCATGACTGTTGTAAAAGTAAGACCTAGAGAGAAACTTTTGTAAAATCATATAAAAATACTGTAATAATAACACCCATGCCTACTGAGCCTCAGAAACATCAATATGTCCTAATTGGTTCATGAGGACCACTTATTCATTGTATTATTTAAATGTTATTAGCTACAAAACCAAGCATCTTATCAGTAATGTGTTTATCTTCCACTCTGCACAACTCCATTAATTTTGCTTTTTATTTTTACTGTTATGAAGTTGGGTGAAAAAAGCAACAGAAGAGTTCCTTTTTGATGTATTTCATTAAGATCTCATCCAGTTGATGTCTATCGGTCTCTATTAAAAAAAGAACAAAACAACAGTCTTTCTAGATTAGGTTGTCATTCATAGTTCTCATATGAAAAAGATAGAAATGGCTGACAACTCATAACATAACATACTTTAGCCACTAAGGCTAAAGTAATTTTAAATTGCACCCTTATCCACTGCAGAATGGAGAAGTTTTTCAAAACTCATGTAGGATTATGGGATCATATTGGTGCAACAATGGAGTCTAGCTGTAGTAACTCAAGTCCATGTCATGAACACTGGGTTGATTGTTTCTGAGTTTGACAGTGGAAAATTCTGGAATTGCTGCTGCTCTTCCTTGTCCTTTTTCTGACTCCTGTTTCTTGAATCATTTTCTGTTCATATACAAACTCTTAGTAGGAAAAGTTAAAGCTGCAGATCCATTACCCAAGAGTATAAACTAGAGATCTGAATCTCTGGCTGTGAAGGAGGACTAGAGCCTGGAGTTTTGCATTCAAGATGACTGCTTCATTTGTCAGGATGTTATAGGCATGTAATTACAGGAGAGCTTTTCATGGTGTAAATCCTGGTGTGTGTGTCAAAAGAGAAGGGTTCCAGTCGCTGCCTGGAACCACCAGTGGGCAGTTTATCTTTGCCAGTGCCACCTTCTCCAAGTGCTGGCTGAATTACCTTTGGACATCCATAGCTTGCTCTATGGTCTAGATACATAAAGAATTTAGAGAAATAATTTGCATTTTAGGCTCAGAACAGCATAGATGAGGAACTATCTAGATGTTTCAATGTTATGTGTGATAATACTAAATGTCAACCTGCCCAAGTTCCTTTGCATATGACTGCATATCCTTTTATAGCTGTGCTTCACCCCCCAAAACAGACTACCTTTTGCAAAATTATGGAGCTCTGGAGTCTCTCTGTTATTTCAAAATCTGTATAAACACTTCACAAAAACTAGTCTCAATAGCACAAATTCAGAAATATCAAAATCATTCTCATTTCTGAAAATCCACAGATATATGTGTATCTTTATATACACACACACACATATATATATTTATAACTGTAAAAACATTCCCCAGTACACAAAAAATATAACTTCATGCACTTAAATCACTCTTCCTAGAAAACAAAACTTTCAATGGCTTTTAATGCTGATACATATAATTCACAAGCTTATGAGAAAAACAAAGTGAAATAGCAACAGTTAGATCCTGCACATTCTTATTAACAAGTTACTAAATTAAGGTTTCAAAAGACCAGACTGTCAGTGATAGTCCTTCTGCTGTTGCTGAAGTACAGAAAAAAAAATCAGTTGTAAGAGCATGTTTGCATTCCTTCATATCAAGTTGCCTTCTCAGTATCACATAGAAGATATATAATCTCCTCTTATACTGAACACAAACTGGCACATTTCAGTGATGAATGTTTGCAAGTCTAAAGAGAGGACTTCAGCTGCTTTTTATCTAGCAGGGTCAGGGTTTAGATAGGGAGGCACAAAAGTCAAAAACAGACAAGCTGCATAGGTGGCCCATGGATAAAGAGGTTCATTCTTCTGGGTAATCAATCACATGAGCAGAAAAAACAAATACATATATGACTGAGAGGGTGAAACTAGCTTTGAAGGGAGATAATTACATTTGACTGAGTAGTGGTACACTTGCTTCTTAAACATCTAGTTTAGTCTGCAGCACATAAACACACATTCAAAGGACCATTTAGGCTGGTGCTTTTCCACTTTCAGTGAAAAATTCTATTTATAAATAATTATTATTCAGAAAAAAATCAATTGTATTCTCATAAGAGGAAATTAATGGATTTAAAGGCATTAAGTGAATTAGAAAACACATTGTTCTATTTGCAGAGATTATTGGGTTGAGTGTAAAAAATACAAATTAAATTGACTAACAGCCAGATTTTTCCTGGGGCTTGTGCATTCTTCATAAGAATACAGCATTGAAATAGCTTTCAAGAAGCTGGTCCTAATATTAACATTTTCAAATCTGATTATTTAAAAATAGACCTTGTACAGATGTCCTAAGCCTTCACTGACATATGTGTGAACAAGAAAGCACTTTTTTCTGCAAGATTGGATTCAGAGACGTCCATTACATGACCACAGCATGGATGAAGCTGGTGGGGACCTCTGGAGGTCATCTGGTCCAAGCCCCCCATGGCAGGTAGGACCACACAGAACTGTTTGTCTGGGACCCTGACATGTTATGTTTTTTTTTATCTCTAAGGCTGGAGACTCCACAACCTTCCTGGGCAGCCTCTGCCAGTGCTGGGTCACCCTCCCAGTAACAAAGTGTTTCCTGAAGTTCAGACAGCAGTTCTGGGTTTAGGTCTGTGCCCATCATTGCCACTGGTCCTGTCACTGGGCACCAGTGGAAAGAGCCTGGCTCACCAGGTTTGTTTTGCAAAGCTGCTTTCTAGCTGGGTGATTCCCAGCATGTAATGATGCCCAGGATTGTCTCACTCCAGCTACAGGACTTTGCACTTCCCTCTCAATGCATGAGGTTTTCGACAGTCCATTTCTCCAACAATATAGATGAAGGTGAGGACTTATGCCTCTAAAGAAATCTGGGATTAACCAACCCTTCCATCTCACAAAAAGTGAGAAGATGACCCTCCAGTAAGGAAAGGATTTAGAGTTGATTTGGGGAGAAGTCACAGAATGAGGAACACAGATTTATATTTGAGTAAATAGCATGGTCCTAGTTTTTAACCAGTAAAAAAAAACAAACCTCCTCCCATCCTTCCAAAACAAGGACTTAATTCTTTGCCCAAAGAACTGAGAAAAAAAAAGAAAGAAAAATGATTCCAGGTTGTGTTTATGTATGATTTTTACTGTTTTCAAATGCACCCCCTAGAAATCCAGAGCATCCAGATACTCCTGCATGTGTCAAAGCTGGGCTTGGCATCATTTTGTTCCATTGCAAGTCTGGAACCCCTGTGAAAATAAAGAGATAAACCACAGAGAAGATGATGCTTTAACTTCAGAAGTGATTACTAAGCTGTACCATTTGTCAGAAAACTTGTGGTAATGGTTAAAATGGAAGGAAAAAAAAAGAAAAATAGAGCATGTGGTTTTATTCTTGTCTTCATTGTGTTCTGCCTGCAAAGATGCACAAAAGGTCACATATATCTTGAACAGGAAATGATTGCTCTTGACATATAAGTCAATATAGCTTCTAAAGCATGAGGAGGTATAATGTGACACAAAGATCATCTTGTAAGTTTTTCCCTCAGCTCCTCTCTAATAATGTGAGGTGTAGAAAATTTAATTTTCTTATCTTATATCCTTTGCCTATTTGAATGTTAAGCTCCTTATTTGCCTTCCACAATGGAAAAGTCTTATTTTCCATTTCTTATTTTAAAATCTCTAGAGTTTAAAAAACCAAAAATAGTGAATGGTAGTTATGAAATGAAAGCCTCAAACATATTTTTTTCTTATCAAAATGAAAGTAGATGAATTTTGTAACCCATCCCAAATGTCATATCTGGGCTATTTTGGCTACTTGCAATAATACACTTGTGGACTAAAGAATTGTAATAGGAAAAGGTTCTGCTGGAATTCCTCTAATATTTGTAACCATGACAATATTCCTCTTTCCCAGAGACAAATGTTAAATATATACTCTAGCACTTTTACCAAAACTATAAAAAAGAATGAGGGTGTATTTAATCTGAAAGTGAAGTGGCATAAATGTTTATGAAGGTTTTAAGGTATAAAAGTCACACAAAAAGAAAATTTAAATCTAAGATTTTCCTCAGTTACTAATATAAAGACATTTGGAAATGGAATTTTTACCTACATCAGTGTTAAAAGACCAAGCCAAAAAATGCTCTCAAAACTAGAATACTATGTTAAACCTAGAACAAAATTTACTGACAACAAATACAATTCAAGTAAAATCTTGGCAGCATGAAGGCACAATTTGACAAGGGGCTCACCTTTTCAAGACTGTGAGCAAATTTCAAAGTGACTTGAAGTGCTGACAGTCTTGACAGCACATGGTCTCCTATATGCTGAAGGGATGGATTTTAGGATTGGGAAGTTCTAAATCACTGTCCTGTGCTGTCCTACTAAGGACAGCAAAACAGCTTTCTTATTACTATTTCTGCAAGATGGAAATACAACAGGCAACACTACCATATCAACTAGAAATAATTGTCTGTGCTTTTACATTGCATGGAACACACTAATAGAAGCAGGCCCAGACATGGTCCTTACCAGATTTTCAAGGATTAATGTAATTCCACCTGTGCCTGGCTCTCCTCTGTGTTCCATCCAACCATACATCACTACACCATTCATAGCACTGCCAAGACAGGAGCATAAGGGCAGATGTTAGCAATACACCAAAACATAACAAATAATTTTTAAAATAATGACAGATAAACTCAGGACAGAGTAGCCTTCAAATTGCAAAATGAGGAACGTCATTTGAGGTCAAATGAGGAAGAAAACACAATTACAATATATGAAATGAAATTTCATTCTTAGAGTTAACAAGTGAGTCAAAAATACAAACCAGCTTTTCTTTTAGATATTTGACTGGTAGCGTAAACTGTCACATTATGATTTAAGCACCTGTTTCTACTTCAGTTATACAAAATCCTCTTCAATTTCTAGGATATAAAATATAGTAATAAAGATATCTATTGCAGGAGGTTCCCATCAGCCAGTCATTAAAACACAGAACATCTGAAGGTTAAACTAAGACCAGGTTTTTTAGTAAAAATAAGAAGTACTGTGAAAAAAGATCCAGGAAGCTATAGAGAGAAACATTTAAATCACTACAAAACTATCATCATTTGATTGTTCTGAATATAGTTAATATTTGATTAGGTAGGTGCTTGGAGTTAATGTCCTTCTTAATTAAATCAGACTCCTCCTTCTCTACCCCCAGAGAAGAAAAGATTGATCATGCTTTTTTTTTTTTTCAAATGCTAATTAGTATAAGCAGAGAAAGTCTTAAATCAGAATGCTTTATTCAGTCCTGCTGCTTCATCCATTTGGATCCTGCTCACATTTCCTTGGGAGGCCTGCTCTTTTGTATCTGTGAAAATAAGCACAGATGTTGGCTCCACCTCCCTCAAAGCAAGTTTTGCCTAATGACCATTTTGAATGTATCCCACTTGCACCTGTTCAGCATTTTAAAGTAAAATAAAGTACTTGATTGACTCCAAATATCTTGTCCAGATTTTTTTAACTTGATTATGTTGCCATAAAAGACAAGAGGTTATTTGAGTAACAGCCACAGTATCAGCTGGAGTAAGGCCAACCTCATCATTCCTGGAAGCTTTTTTTTGTTGCTTTTAAAAGCCTGACTTGGGAGATATTGCAGATTAATTAGAACATTAGATGGCACTACTGCAGCACTGAGGTACACATAGGAGCACAGATTACCATATGCAATTATTTATAATGTGCCAAGTACACAAAAATGCTGATATTAAAATGGTCACATTGCACTCAATATGACATTTTTGCAGAACTGTTCTTTTTTTATCAACAGAATGCACTAGCTATCTTATTTAGTATCTCCTCCTGCCACAGAAGCCATCAAATTTATTTTCATCTACTATGTCTCCTTCCTCTTCCATTACAAGTGTCTGAATTGCAAAATATATTTTTCAGAGTTGAGCAAATCCTACCATCATTAAGTTTCTAGTCAGTTTTCCAAGGCTTTCAGAAGTCTGGGAAAAAATATTTTCATTTATACTTTCATAAATATGAATAAAATTTTATGAAATCTAAATACCTACTCTGGTTTCACAATACACAAAGTGAATTTCATATAATCATAGAATGTTTTAGGTTGGAAAGCACCTGAAAGATCATCTGGTTCCAAACCCCCTGGTTCACTAGACCAGGCTGCTCAAGACCCCACCCAACCTGGCCTCAAATGCTCCCAGGGATGGGGCACCCACAGCTTCCCTGGACAACGTGTTCCAGCATTCCACCAACTCCACATGAGGAATTCCTTCCCAATATCTGATCTAAACACACCCTCTTTGAGCTTTAAGCCATTCTGCCTTGTCTTAACTCTACCCACCCCTGTACATAATCCCTCTCCAACTCTCTAAGCCCTTTTAGGTAACTAAAAGTCTTGCTTGAGCCTTCTCCAGGATGAACAATCCTAGCCCTCTCAGCCTGTCCTCATAGGAGGAGAGGTGCTTCTCTGAGAGTCTTTGTGGCCTCACTCCAACAAATCCACATCGTTCTTGTGCTGGGGACCCGGAATCTGGTCTTTAACACCCAGCAATGTATATTACCAAGTCATTATTAGCACTATTGAAATTTACAAAAACCCATCGTTTCATAGCAAATGGAACAAATTTTTTTGATTGATTCCACAGTTCCACCGTTCTGTTTGAAAATAAATTCCTTTTATGAGGTGATGGCAAAAAAAAAAAAAAAATCATACACATGGTGAAATGGAAAAAAAAATGCAATTTAGTATTTTAATCATATATGTTAGCATGTGACACAACATTTAGGAAATAGAAACAGAAAGCCATTCTGCAAAGAAGTATTAGCATTTGTATCAGAAAAAAGTGAGACCAAGGTATATTTTTATTACCAGGAGGCATTTTCTTGAGTTTTCTTCTCGGTTATTATGAAACAATTTAAAATACTTACAATTTAAAATGTTATAATTTAAAATGTTACAATTTTGAGTACGTTGTACTCAGCTATTGGAAGATGGTTTTGCAAATCACTGGTGAGGTAACACAATAGGTTCTCAACTTTAGATTATCTGTCTAATTCAAAGACTGATTGCGGTTGCTTAAGATTTATGATTTCTTTTTTTCTCCACAACATATAAAATAAAAGAATCTTGTAACTCTTTCTTGATTTTGTTATTCCAACCATTTTTTCCTAACAGACTCTTGTCATGCATAATTCTGCATGTATATACAAGTTATATATTTGTGTGTGTACATGTATCTTTCAAGGAAAAAAATTATTTTTATTGCATCAGATAACAGGGTATAAACTGGTTATATGTTCATGGCATATTTCTTTTTTTATTTTTTTCTCATGAGAATTGAGTATAATTCTTATGAATTCCTAACTGTTGCATAATTTAAAATTATGTTTTATAACAAACATATAGGAAGAAAAATGAACTCCTTTCAGAAAATCTACATTAGACCATTTCCTGAATTGATGCTTGCTTTTGTTTCTTTTAGTATCCTCCCTAAAATAAAATAAATTCCTATAGGTGCACAACAGTTTTACATAAATTATACAGGATTACCACATATTGGAATTAACTGCTGACATGTCATTACTAAAAATAATAGAAAATATGCTGTTCTTTAGGTGATAAATAGATAAAGTGTGATACTAGGACATTTCTGTATGCTTCTCTAAATCATCTCATATCTTAATGCAAGTGAAAATCAAATTATTTACATTGCAAAGCAATATCATAATGCAAACTATAAGAATTAAATGAGATTTTTCATTGATGTCAAATTTCTGGTACTCAGTGCCATCATTTTTTATTATAAAATATCTGACCATCACAGTGAATATTTCTACTGAAATTCTCACATATGAAGAAAGACAGAGGATGTGTTGTGATTTTGTCCTCCTGTGACTGCACACTATTTAAAATTATATCTGCTGAAAAATAGTAATGATCCTAATAAACACAGAATAAATGCATTATACTGGCTAAAAATTATTCAAAAGTACACTGATACAGAAATTAAAGTGTCACTGGCAAATTATCAAGCTGCACCTTAATCAGTCAGCTGAATATAATGCTCAGTGGCACAGCACTGTGTTTCATACTAGACATTTCTTTAAATTAAATACGTGGCATCTTCAGTCTTCTGTTAGCTGACCTGGCAGTAAATATTTTTTCTCACTAATAGTATATAAACCCAAGATTATTATACAAAATTGTATTGTCTCTTCTTTGTCTTCATAGTTGGTTGAGTTTATATGGACACAGGCTACTATAATAAATATCAAGAACTTGAAATCAAGATTTTCAAATTATATATCAAAATTATTTTTGAATATGATTTTTTTATTCAAAACCAAACTTTGAAAGACCCCAAACAAGAGTGCAACATCATTAAGAGAGGCTATTTTAAAGCATATATACATTACAGGAACCCAACAAATGCACCTGGATGTTTAAACCCACTGGGTGAAGCCCCTGTCACACCACCTTTCTTACACAGGTCAGGACAGGGCTGTCAGATTCTCAGCTGGATTAGCTTGACATAGCTCTGCCTTATTCAACAGGAATAAATAGTTTCACACAAGTTAAGGATGAAATGCAGAAAATAGGGAATTTTTAAGTAAAAAAATTATATCATAGTTCCATTTCTAAGCTGGGATGAAAATCAGCTTCCAGAACTGATACATTTTTTCTGTTCTTACCTCACCCCTTCTCTCTTTTCAGTGCGTACCCATTATCTTTTCTGAATACAGACAGTTTCCTCCACACAAATACGAGTTTTCACGTTCATAAAAATGCTTGATAGGCAAGGTTACTCCAAGATCACATCAAGTTATATTCCCAAATGATCTGTTAACTGCAAAATGAAGACTTCAGCATCAGCCACTTGTGTTCCACGATGCTTTGTCAGCAAGTGATCCCTAGAATTACCCAGTTAAACTACACCTTGAGGAAAGCCCTCTTTGGTTAGCTTTTCACCAGATGATGTGTCAGGAAAAGTATAAAGATGAAGAAGATATTCACACAAAGAAAGCAAAAAACTGCACATACATAGTGGCAGTCAAATGTGCAGCTGGCACAGGCCCTGGTTTCTGCTAGCTGCCTGGAGTGTTGGATTGCCATCTTAAGGGTCTGATTTTAGAAACATTACTTTGTCTGGTTTTTTTTTTATGTTGGGCCTTTTCTGGACATTGTATTCTGATTATTCATGGCCCTATATTTCATGTAAAAGGTGCTAAATTTTCCTAGAAAGGACTCTTCATGTGCACATGAGAAAAAATCTATATCCATGATGAGAAGAATTTCTACATTTTTTTAGTGGTCATATGTACAGTTTGTTATTGCTGCAATTACTTATTATGGATAAGATTCATTACCAGAATGTTTTAAGAGAAAATTTCAGCTGTGATCTCTGGGCAGAAGTACCTTTGAAACAGCATCAGCTGAGCCCTTGGAAACAAGTCATAATTTTCAACTCCTTGAATGACATAAAGATAGCTGAAAATACATCATCCTCTTCACTCAATGATACTCTTCACAGAAGCAGTCAAAAATCTTCCTTTCAGGTGGTACTGACGTGCCTTACCAAGGCAGGAAGACGAGTCACTTATCAGCCTTGACCAACTAGAAAAAAAACACAGATATTTATGAATGAATAAATAAGTAAATGTAAATTCTTAAAACTTAATGGACCATTCAGTTGTGTAGTCTGACTCTTTTATATGGCATAAAGATTTAATTTTATCTGGTAATTTTTGCCTAATGCTTTCTATTTGCAGAAGTACATATTCCAGGAAGAGTATTAGGGTTTAGTTTGAATTAAGGATTTTAAAACATAAATATGACCTATGAACACCATCATTTCTAGTATGCTTCCCTCTGCAATATTTTAAATAAGAATACAAAATTTAATTTTGTGAGATTTATCAAATGTAGTGAAAAATAAATATACAATTAAATTATGCAAGTATTATGCGCAGACCTTAGAATAAATGCCCTCTGAGATCTAAAACTGGAAATTGTAAGGAAGAAAGAAGTTGTATTATTGAGACAAGACAATATTCTAGCAGAGTTTTAAGCAAAATATAATCTTCACTATTATCTGGTTAGGTGAATATAAGTAAAAAGGAGACAAAAATTGTGATGCCCCAGAAAATATTACAGCCATCTTTGTCTGCTTTGTCTCTTAAGAGCTCTTTCCCAGAGATTCCTGAATTGCAAATCC